AGCAGCTGGACACAATAGTGTACCCTCAAACAAACCATACTATTGTATATCATGATCATTCATGTTTTTTTTGCTTGGCTGAAACTAATCCTTTGGAAAGCCTTTGGTTTTGATTCCAAGAAAAATGAAGCTAAGTAAAAGGAAACAAACTTTAGCAAAGGAAAAGGAAAAGGAAATTATTGAAAAAAAAAACAATCACCTCAGGAAGCAGCTGGACACAATAGTGTACCCCCAAACAAACCACACTATTGTGTATCAGGGTTGCTCATGGACTACCCCCTTGAAAAATTGTTTGAGTCATGTTTTTTAATTGGGTTTTAATAAGGCATCATATATTTTGGGAATTGTGCATGTCTGAGAATTCTAAATAAAAGAAACTCATTGAGAAAATAAAAAAAAGCTTTAGCAAAGGAAAATGCAAAGGGAATGTTAAAAAACAACATCACCTCAGGAAGCAGCTGGACACAATAGTGTACCCTCAAACAAACCATACTATTGTGTATCAGGATCATTCATGTTTTCTTTGCTTGGCTAAAACTGATCCTTTGGAAAGCCTTTGGTTTTGATTCCAAGAAGGATGAAGCTAAGTAAAAGGAAACAAACTTTAGCAAAGGAAAAGGAAAAGGAAATTGTTGAAAAAAAAACAATCACCTCAGGAAGCAGCTGGACACAATAGTGTACCCCCAAACAAACCACACTATTGTGTATCAGGGTTGCTCATGGACTACCCCCTTGAAAAATTGTTTGAGTCATGTTTTTTAATTGGGTTTTAATAAGGCATCATATATTTTGGGAAATTGTGCATTTCTGAGAATTCTAAATAAAAGAAACTAATTGAGAAAATAAAAAAAAAGCTTTAGCAAAGGAAAATGCAAAGGAAATGTTAAAAAACAAAATCACCTCAGGAAGCAGCTGGACACAATAGTGTACCCTCAAACAAACCATACTATTGTGTATCAGGATCATTCATGTTTTCTTTGCTTGGCTAAAACTGATCCTTTGGAAAGCCTTTGGTTTTGATTCCAAGAAGGATGAAGCTAAGTAAAAGGAAACAAACTTTAGCAAAGGAAAAGGAAAAGGAAATTGTTGAAAAAAAAACAATCACCTCAGGAAGCAGCTGGGCACAATAGTGTACCCCCAAACAAACCACACTATTGTGTATCAGGGTTGCTCATGGACTACCCCCTTGAAAAATTGTTTGAGTCATGTTTTTAATTTGGGTTTTAATAAGGCATCATATATTTTGGGAAATTGTGCATTTCTGAGAATTCTAAATAAAAGAAACTAATTAATTGAGAAAATAAAAAAAGCTTTAGCAAAGGAAAATGTAAAGGAAATGTTAAAAAACAAAATCACCTCAGGAAGCAGCTGGACACAATAGTGTACCCTCAAACAAACCATACTATTGTGTATCATGATCATTCATGTTTTTTTTGCTTGGCTGAAACTAATCCTTTGGAAAGCCTTTGGTTTTGATTCCAAGAAAAATGAAGCTAAGTATAAGGAAACAAACTTTAGCAAAGGAAAAGGAAAAGGAAATTGTTGAAAAAAAACAATCACCTCAGGAAGCAGCTGGACACAATAGTGTACCCCCAAACAAACCACACTATTGTGTATCAGGGTTGCTCATGGACTACCCCCTTGAAAAATTGTTTGAGTCATGTTTTTTAATTGGCTTTTAATAAGGCATCATATATTTTGGGAAATTGTGCATTTCTGAGAATTCTAAATAAAAGAAACTAATTGAGAAAATAAAAAAAAGCTTTAGCAAAGGAAAATGCAAAGGGAATGTTAAAAAACAACATCACCTCAGGAAGCTGCTGGACACAATAGTGTACCCCCAAACAAACCACACTATTGTGTATCAGGGTTGCTCATGGACTACCCCCTTGAAAAATTGTTTGAGTCATGTTTTTTAATTGGGTTTTAATAAGGCATCATATATTTTGGGAAATTGTGCATTTCTGAGAATTCTAAATAAAAGAAACTAATTGAGAAAATTAAAAAAAGCTTTAGCAAAGGAAAATGTAAAGGAAATGTTAAAAAACAAAATCACCTCAGGAAGCAGCTGGACACAATAGTGTACCCTCAAACAAACCATACTATTGTGTATCATGATCATTCATGTTTTTTTTGCTTGGCTGAAACTAATCCTTTAGAAAGCCTTTGGTTTTGATTCCAAGAAAAATGAAGCTAAGTAAAAGGAAACAAACTTTAGCAAAGGAAAAGGAAAAGGAAATGGTTGAAAAAAAAACATAACCTCAGGAAGCAGCTGGACACAATAGTGTACCCCCAAACAAACCAGACTATTGTGTATCAGGGTTGTTCATGGACTACCCCCTTGAAAAATTGTTTGAGTGATGTTTTTTTAATTGGGTTTTAATCAGGCATCATATATTTTGGTAAATTGAGCATTTCTGAGAATTCTAAATAAAAGAAACTAATTGAGAAAATAAAAACAACTTTAGCAAAGGAAAATGTAAAGGGAATGTAAAAAAAAACAAAATCACCTCAGGAAGCAGCTGGACACAATAGTGTACCCTCAAACAAACCATACTATTGTGTATCATGATCATATTCATTTCAAGTTACTTTCAATTGATTTCAATTTACTTGCAATTGATTTCAATTTACTTCAAGTAAAAGAAAAAAAACAATCACCTCAGGAAGCAGCTGGACACAATAGTGTACCCTCAAACAAACCATACTATTGTGTATCATGATCATTCATGTTTTTTTTGCTTGGCTGAAACTAATCCTTTGGAAAGCCTTTGGTTTTGATTCCAAGAAAAAATGAAGCTAAGTAAAAGGAAACAAACTTTAGCAAAGGAAAAGGAAATGGTTGAAAAAAAACATAACCTCAGGAAGCAGCTGGACACAATAGTGTACCCTCATACAAACCAGACTATTTTGTATCAGGGTTGCTCATGGACTACCCCCTTGAAAAATTGTTTGAGTGATGTTTTTTAATTGGGTTTTTAATAAGGCATCATATATTTTGGGAAATTGAGCATTTCTGAGAATTCTAAATAAAAGAAACTAATTGAGAAAGTAAAGCTTTAGCAAAGGAAAATGTAAAGGGAATGTTAAAAAACAAAATCACCTCAGGAAGCAGCTGGACACAATAGTGTACCCCCAAACAAACCACACTATTGTGTATCAGGGTTGCTCATGGACTACCCCCTTCAAAAATTGTTTGAGTGATGTTTTTTAATTGGGTTTTATTAAGGCATCATATATTTTTTGAAATTGAGCATTTCTGAGAATCCTAAATAAAAGAAACTAATTGAGAAAATAAAAGAAAAAACTTTAGCAAAGGAAAATGTAAAGGGAATGTAAAAAAAAAAACAAAATCACCTCAGGAAGCAGCTGGACACAATAGTGTACCCTCAAACAAACCATACTATTGTGTATCATGATCATATTCATTTCGAGCTACTTTCAATTGATTTCAATTTACTTGCAATTGATTTCAATTTACTTTCAAGTAAAAGAAAAAAAACAATCACCTCAGGAAGCAGCTGGACACAATAGTGTACCCTCAAACAAACCATACTATTGTGTATCATGATCATTCATTTTTTTTTGCTTGGCTGAAACTAATCCTTTAGAAAGCCTTTGGTTTTGATTTCAAGAAAAATGAAGCTAAGTAAAAGGCAACAAACTTTAGCAAAGGAAAAGGTAAAGGGAATGTTTTAAAAAAATCACCTCAGGAAGCAGCTGGACACAATAGTGTACCCTCAAACAAACCATACTATTGTGTATCATGATCATTCATGTTTTTTTTTGCTTGGCTGAAACTAATCCTTTGGAAAACCTTTGGTTTTGATTCCAAGAAAAATGAAGCTAAGTAAAAGGAAACAAATTTTAGCAAAGGAAAAGGAAAAGGAAGGTTAAAAAAAAAAACAATCACCTCAGGAAGCAGCTGGACACAATAGTGTACCCCCAAACAAACCACACTATTGTGTATCAGGGTTGCTCATGGACTACCACCTTGAAAAATTGTTTGAGTCATGTTTTTTAATTGGGTTTTAATAAGGCATCATATATTTTGGGAAATTGTGCATTTCTGAGAATTCTAAATACAAGAAACTAATTGAGAAAATAAAAAAAAGCTTTAGCAAAGGAAAATGCAAAGGGAATGTTAAAAAACAACATCACCTCAGGAAGCAGCTGGACACAATAGTGTACCCTCAAACAAACCATACTATTGTGTATCAGGATCATTCATGTTTTTTTTTTTGCTTGGCTAAAACTGATCCTTTGGAAAGCCTTTGGTTTTGATTCCAAGAAGGATGAAGCTAAGTAAAAGGAAACAAACTTTAGTAAATGAAAAGGGAAAGGAAATGCTTGAAAAAAAAAACATAACCTCAGGAAGCAGCTGGACACAATAGTGTACCCTCAAACAAACCATACTATTGTGTATCATGATCATTCATGTTTTTTTGCTTGGCTGAAACTCATCCTTTGGAAAGCCTTTGGTTTTGATTGCAATTGATTTCAACTCATTTTCAACTGATGTTCAATTGATTTCAAATGATTTCAAATTAATTTCGATTGATTTTCAATTTGTTTAATTAAATTGTTTTTCAATTGATTTTCACTTTACTTTGAATTGATTTCAACTTAATTTATTAATTAACAAAGGAATTGCTTTTCATTTGATTTCAATCCATTTTCATCTCACATGGGGGGATTTATTTCTTTGCTTGTGAAGGCTCAAGCCCATTCTAGCCAGCTTCTTTGCATCCCATCAGCTCAGCCATGGAGCAATTCAACACTGAGATGGACAAGCTCAGGAAGGACTACAATTATCATCTTGTGGAATGGTTTTCCAACCTCAGGAATATCCTGACTCTGGAGAAATTCTCTTTGAGTCCTAAGGCTTGGATTTGTTTTTTGTTTCCCAATGGGAAATCCATTAATGAATTAGTTAATGAGTTTTATTTTTGGGTGGTTCTTTAAGCAACTCCATGAAGGTGGTGGCTCTGACAGCTGAGATGGCTGACATCAAGGTGAAGCTCAGGTGCTCTCAGGAACAGTTTGTGGACATGCTGCAGAAGTACTACACTCAGCAGTTGGTTCAGCTTGAGGATCCTGATGCTGTGCCTGATTGGGTGATGCTCAGTTTCAGGAATGAACTCAGTCAGATCTTCAAAGACTTCAAGGGTTACCCAAAGATCACTCAGGGGCAATGGATTAGGATTCTCAAGACAGCTCTTCAGGATGCTCAGGATGGTTGGCCATCAGAGTGTATCCCTCTTCCTCAGCCTGCCCAGCCTGCCCAACCTGCTAAGTCTGATACATTTGATGCTACCCTCAGCAAGTTTCAGGATATGGAAAAGGAGTTGAATGCACAGCCTGACCATGAGGTGATGGAGGTGGCTAAGGACTCTCAGGTCTTAGACTCTCAGCCTATGGGGAGTGATGATGAAGCACCATCAGATACACCCTTTGGGTCCCAGGAGCTGGTTGATGATTCTCAGGTCCTAGACTCTCAGCCTATGAGCAGTGATGATTCAGCATCAGATCCATCCTCAGATGCTGAGCCCAAGTCCAAGAAGGCCAAGACTGAAGAGCCCTAGAGGACTGAAGGGTGTTTCTGGTGGTGTGGGATTAGTGCCCAGCTTGGACATAATCTTAGACTTTTGGCAATTTTGATTAATTAATTAATTAATTAATCAATTAATTAATTAATTAATCAATTAATTAATTAATTAGCATGCTTATGCATGTTTAAGTTTCTTATAATTGAGTAATTAGCTAATTAATTAACCAATGAAGTTGTAGCATGTTCATATTTGTGCATGTCTATGTGATTCCTCAGCTTTTTAAGGCTCAAATCTAAGGGCCAGGACTAATCAACCTTTGCTCCATATCATCTCAGCTATGTCTTTCTTTGACTATCATGGGAGAGGCTCAGGCAAACCTCATCCTATGTTTGAAGAGAAGCCTGCTGAGGTGCCTGACAAGGTTTTGTGGACTCAGAAGGGTGGCCAAGGGCTCTACCAGCTTCAGCCCAATGATCCACCTCAGGAACCCTCATGCTTAGCACTCTTCAACAACATGGACTCAGAAAACATTGTGGAGTACCCTAGATACCTTAGGGAGCCTAAGGTTGACTGTGGCAATGGCCATCAAGTCTTCCTCAGCAGAATTCCCTGGCAATCAGGATGTAGAGAATGCTCTGTGCCTGGGTTGAACAAATGGATGTTTTTTTTTTTTTTGTTGGTGTGTGTTTGTGTGTTTTAGCATAGGGCAATGAGCATTAATTAACTGATATAGTTGTCATTTTTTTCATGGACACCATTTGCAACCCTGCAGGAACACAATGGCTGGTCTCAGGAAGTGGTTCAAAGATATTACACTGAGGTGCTCAGAATGGACCCATTGCCTTGGGGTGCATTTGTAGCTCCTCAGTTCAGACAAGCTCAGTTCAAGCCTCCTGAGCCTGATCCACCAGCTGGATTCTCAGCAGCAACTGCTTCTTCATCAACAGGGAAGGGCTCAGGCAGACCTCATCAGCCCTTCAATGTGCTAGATGCTGCTTTATCAAATATGCAGAGAAGCTCAGTTTGGAAGCCTCAGCCTATCAGGACTGCCAATGATGCTCAGGGCTATGTCAAGTCTGAGCTCCAAAAGCTGAACATCAATGAGATTGACAAGCTCCTGGACAGCTCAGAATCAGATCAGAAGCTCAGTGACTTGGACAATGTACCTGACCTGATTGAGGACATGAAGTCCAAGATTCTTCTACTTGAGCAGGCACTTGAATCCCAGGAGCTCACAATGCTTAGGCTCAGGCAACATGCTAAGAACATGGAAGAGGAGCAAGGTGAGCTCAGGGCTTTGCATGCTGAGCTTCAACTCTCAGTGAAAAGATCTCAGTCCTACTGGGAGCAGAAGCTGTCTCAGGATCTTCTGAATAAGGAAGCTCTGAGAAAGTTCATGGAAACTCATCAAATGAGTGAACTAGATCTCAGGCAGCTGATGCAAAAGTCTCCTCAGATTGATCACAAGCCTCAGGACTCAGTGAAGGAAGTTGTGGATGTATAATTAACTCAGGTGCATGACTGCTGAGCAAATATATAGTTAATTAGAAGCCTTAGTCACTTCCTGAGTAATTATACCAGAGGCACTGTGAAGAATTTCTTAGCTGGCAGAAAAAAATGAGTGCAGCTCTGAAGTGATGTGGGTGGTTTTGCCACTGCTGCTGGTTGTTTTGCCACTGCTGCTGGTTGTTGTTGCAGTTTAGAATAATTAATTGATTAATTAATATTTTAATTAGTTAATTACTTAATTAACTAATTAATGAATCAATAATTAATCAATTATTTAGTTAATTAATTGATTACTTTAGCATAAGTAATGGGTAATGTTGGACATTAACATCACTGAGTTTAGTGTCAAATAATGGGTCTTTCAGTTTTGCTATCAGTTTCTTGTCCCTGACAGGACCTCAGCATTCTGCCTACCTCACTCAGCATTAAGGTCTTCAGCAAGCTTGAGTGATTTTCTTTTACATTGAGCTAAGCAAGGCTCAATGATTTTTGAATGTCTCAGCATGTGACTATCAGCAGGACACACTGGCAAAAGATGGCTGGGAAAGTGATGGGGTTGGGTAGAGTTGCAAGCACTAAGATAATTAATTAATTACTGAGATTGAACTTAGCAGCATGGACTAAGATTGAATTTAGCAGATGTGAATCAATTTAGATTTGATATTCTTTAAAATAATTACTTGGATGGATGATTGTTTTTTTCACCTCAGGAAGAAGCTGGACACAATAGTGTACCCTCAAACAAACCATACTATTGTGTATCAGGATCATTCATGTTTTTTTGCTTGGCTGAAACTCATCCTTTGGAAAGCCTTTGGTTTTGATTCCAAGAAGAATGAAGCTAAGTAAAAGGAAACAAACTTTAGCAAAGGAAAATGTAAAGGGAATGTTAAAAAACAAAATCACCTCAGGAAGCAGCTGGACACAATAGTGTACCCTCAAACAAACCATACTATTGTGTATCATGATCATTCATGTTTTTTTTTTGCTTGGCTGAAACTAATCCTTTGGAAAGCCTTTGGTTTTGAATCCAAGAAAAATGAAGCTAAGTAAAAGGAAACAAACTTTAGCAAAGGAAAAGGAAAAGGAAATGGTTGAAAAAAAACATAACCTCAGGAAGCAGCTGGACACAATAGTGTGCCCTCAAACAAACCAGACTATTGTGTATCAGGGTTGCTCATGGACTACCCCCTTGAAAAATTGTTTGAGTGATGTTTATTAATTGGGTTTTAATAAGGCATCATATATTTTGGGAAATTGAGCATTTCTGAGAATTCTAAATAAAAGAACCTAATTGAGAAAGTAAAACTTTAGCAAAGGAACATGTAAAGGGAATGTTAAAAAAACTAAATCACCTCAGGAAGCAGCTGGACACAATAGTGTACCCTCAAACAAACCATACTATTGTGTATCATGATCATTCATGTTTTTTTTGCTTGGCTGAAACTAATCCTTTGGAAAGCCTTTGGTTTTGAATCCAAGAAAAATGAAGCTAAGTAAAAGGAAACAAACTTTAGCAAAGGAAAAAGAAAAGGAAATGGTTGAAAAAAAAAACAATCACCTCAGGAAGCAGCTGGACACAATAGTGTACCCCCAAACAAACCACACTATTGTGTATCAGGGTTGCTCATGGACTACCCTCTTGAAAAATTGTTTGAGTCATGTTTTTAATTGGGTTTTAATAAGGCATCATATATTTTGAGAAATTGAGCATTTCTGAGAATTGTAAATAAAAGAAACTAATTGAGAAAATAAAAAATAATAGCAAAGGAAAAGGTAAAGAGAATGTTCAAAAAAACACATCAGGAAGCAGCTGGACACAATAGTGTACCCCCAAACAAACCATACTATTTTGTATCATGATCATTCATGTTTTTTTTGGTTGGCTGAAACTCATCCTTTGGAAAATCTTTACTTAGTTTTGATGTTATATACCAAAGCTTGTGAAGGCTCAGATCCAACTGTGTTGATTTTCTCAGCAATGGTGCTGCTGAAGAGCATGCTGGAATCACTCAGCACCATGAGATCACTTAGCTCCAGAGGACTGAAGGGTGTTTCTGGTGGGGTAGGATTGGTGCTCAGCTTGACCATGGCCTCAGACTTGTGGCAATCTTGATCAGTAAAAGCATGCTTATGCATGTGTAAGTTTCTTATAATTACTTGCACATGCATCATATTCAATAACTATATATTTATTGATTCATTATATATAATTGTAATAAATGAATTAGTCAACTAGATATTTTGCTTGCATGGTGTTGAATTATGCATGTCTATGTGATTCCTCAGCTGCTTTGATCTCAGTGTGATTTCCACCAACTCAGCTGCACTTCTTGCAAGCCATGAGTTCAAACACTGCTGCTAGTCAGCAGAATCGCCCTTGGCAGCAGAAGACAGCTGCCCAAGGCTCAGGAAAAAAGGATGCTGAGGGCAGATATGGGCCCTGGGTACCTCAGCAACTCCTTAGCACTATTCCTGCTGGAATGGTGTATAGATCAGAGAATGGAAAGCATGCTCAGTTGGTGCAACCATGTGATCCTAAGAGACCTTACATCTCTGAGCTGTTCCAGAATCAGGATAAGGAGGTTATGGTCAAGTACCCCAGGTACTTGGATGAGCCTAAGGTTGCCTGTGGTTCCTGTGGAGCTGACATTTTTCTCAGCAGAATTCCTTGGCAGTCAGGATGTGGCAAATGCAGAGTTCCTGGGTGGACTTAGAATAATGTTATTTTTGTTTACCTGTTTTTTGTTCCTGATTTTTATGTGCTTTGAACTAAAGTATTACTGCTAATTACAAGTACCTCAGTGACAGTTCAAAACTAAGTAAACAACATTAATCATATAATTAATTAATTAATCAATTAGCCAATTAATTAATTAATTGAGCAATTCATTACTTGGTAACATCATGAATTAATTGATCAATTACAGTCTACTTTTTTTTCATTCAAAGCAGCTTGCATTGAGGGCTCAGATGGATGGCCTCAGTGGGTGATCCAGTGGTACTACACCAGGATTCTCAGCATGGATCCATTGCCATGGGCTAAGTCAGTGAAGGCAGATTATGGTAAGGCTCAGTTCATGGAAGATCCTTCTGCTTCTAGGCCTTCATCTTCTCAGCGTCCTCCTGAGCCTCTAGGCACACCAGTGATGCCTAAGGCAAGGCCAGCTGATCCACCTCAGGCCAGTGAGTGTCATAGTGGTGAAGCATACTACTTCAGCCAGCTCCAGCAGATGGATCCTGGGGGTAGGTGCTCAGCAATAGCTCTGCTTCTCTCAGATGCTTCCATGAATGAGCAACCTCTGGAGGACCTGTTAGTTCACATGGATGGGCTCCAAGAATGCATAGAATTGATGGAACAAGCTCAGAAAATGCAGGAAAGGACTGTGGCCAGACTGAAGACTGATCTCAGCTTGATGGAAGATGTGTCTCAGGAGATTTCAAACAGCATCATTGCTTTCCAAGGAACCCATGAGAACATGGTTTTAATGAAAGAGGCAGTACTAGCTGAGGAGGAGGCTCAGCAGGAGGCTGAAAAAGCTGAGAGGGAGGCTCAGGAGGCTCAGGATGCTTTCATGACTCAGAAACTTGAAGATTTCATAGAGAAGTACCAGATCCCAAGGGACAGGGCTGTCTATTTGCTCAGTCCTCCAGCTAAGAAACAAAAATCTCAGAATGATGAGGATAAGTAGCTGCCTCAGGCAGATGGAACATCACTGAGTGAAATCTCAGTGTCCTTTTTAAATTTGCTTTCAGAAGCAATCATCCATGCAGCTTGAATGAAGGAAAAACGTGTGCAGATCTGAAGGGATGTGGAGGCTTCTTCTGCAGGTTAATTGTTGGAATTATTTGATTGCATAATTAATTAGCCAATTTGTTTAACACATATTAGCCAATTTGTTTAACACAAGGTGCATGCCTCCCTCAGTGGACAGTCTCAGGGAAATGGATTCAACCTCATCAAGTGCAAGGCTGAGCTGCTCAACATGCTGGCACTTGTGGAGGTCAGGCAGCATCAGTGGGTCCAGCATTGCCAGAACATTGAGAACCTCAGGGCTGATGTGATCAAGGAGGAGCTTGCTGAGATCAGGGACAAAGTGCTCAGCAGGATGCCCCAGCAGGTCACTGAGGACTCTCAGCATGCTGATGACTCTCAGGTCTTTGGTGACTCTCAGCAGGATGATGACTCTCAGGTCTTTGGTGACTCTGAGCAGGATGATGACTCTCAGGTCTTTGGTGACTCTGAGCAGAATGATGAAGCAGCATCAGATCCACCATCATCAGATGCTGAGCCCAAGTCCAAGAAGGCCAAGACTGAAGAGCCCTAGAGGACTGAAGGGTGTTTCTGGTGGTGTGGGATTGGCCATAATCTTAGACTTTTGGTCAGTTTTATCAGTAATTAACTAATTAATGTTGACATCAAATAATTTGCTAATTAGCTAACTAATTGATTAATTAACAAATGAAAGTGTAGCATTTTTATATGTGCATGTCTATGTGATTCCCCAGCTGCTTTGATCTCAGTGTGATTTCTGCCAACTCAGCTGCACTTCTTGCAAGCCATGGGTGGCCAAGATGAAGGCTTGATTTTGCCTAGGGGCAAAGGCTCAGGCAAATTGTGGTGCAAAGACTCAGGCAAAGACTCAGGCAAAGACCAAGGCTATTATGGCAAAGGCTTTGGCAAAGACTCAGGAAAAGAGAAAGGCTATGGCAAAGACTCAGGAAAAGAGAAAGGCTATGGCAAAGACTCAGGAAAAGAGAAAGGCTATGGCAAAGACTCAGGCAAAGGCAAAGGCCATGGCAAAGACCCAGGCTATAGCACAAGCTGGGGCAAAGGCAAGCACTCAGAAACAGGCAGAATCCATGCCCCAGCCTTCTCCAGCAGAGACCCCATCTTAGGACCTATGATTCAAGAAGGCAAAGCTATGAAGGGCAGAAAAGGCACCTCAGTTTACAGCAAAGTCTTAGACACCATCCCAGCCAACACCAAATTCA